GATCTTTTTACAAGTATCCGAGTAACAATGTGATACAATGTGAATGTACCCATGAGATTGGCTGGCGAAGCGGAATTAAATCAAACAAACATTAGGGAACAGCAAAATTAGAATATATAATTCTCTATATATATGTAATTAAATATGTATATAATGATATATTTATAAATGTAATTATATTTTAATGATATATTATATATAGTTAAAAAATATATTATATATATCCTAAACAATTCAACCAGTCTTGGAATGATTCCCCTCAGCATCTTAACCATCATTGAGGATGTCAGATGGATGGGGGTTTCCTAAAATAGGGATACCCCAAGCTTGCTTGGTTTCGCCCGTGTACTCTTATTGAGATAGACTTGAAACACACTGAATTTCACAGTGTTCACAATCTGCTGCTATTTCATTGTACTGGTTGATAATAAATACATCCCACAATGGATGGTAACAATCCCAAATATATTGGGTATAGTATAAGGCCGCATAGTCATCAACCAACAGGGGTTTCGAACACTGCTTATTTGAGCGGTCCTCTAAGCGCTGTTGACTTTCTATTCGAAACAAAAAACTGACCTTCCGCCATGGCTTCTGCGCAACTTACACACCACAGTGTTGACATGACTGTTTCAGGGAATAATCCACTTCCACGCATATGGGTTTCGCTCTCGGGAAGGCAACTTAGTTAAATAATCCCCATACAAACACCTTTCACTGAGGTTTTTGCTGCTTCTCTTTTGAAAAAACACAAGTTGCTTCTACATGAAAACCAATGTTACTTCAGTTTATTCATCCCGCACCTTTTCCTGGAACTTCATTGGTCTGTCAAATTATTTTGGCCATAGTTTAGTCCATAACCTATTCCATAATTATATCGTTTAACGCATGTCATAACTCAAGTCACGGCAGGTTATAAGTTAACTTGCAGACTGAACACTTTCCCAAACACCCAGTTTTTCACGGCAAAAGCCAGCGCTGCTTTCTGTTTTTTTTGTTTTTTTCGGCCAGCAGGTCCTATGTCCGCCTGGTACAGAGGGCCGCAGCCGTAGGAAGCCCAGATCCAGTTGATGAAAATCTGAACATATCTGAATCACAAAAACATCATGTGTTTCAGTAGTATGGCAGGTTAGAACGAAACCTTCCAACCAAATTTGGAGTGCTTCCCATTTTGCTTACTTGAAATCTTCCGGATTTCTTTTTATGCTCAAAATCCCAAAAAAAATCAGTCATGACCAATGGACCGCCATGGTTTCACTCTACCAACAGATCGAAAAAACGGCCCTTTTTTGGGTGACACGGGTGATTGCGGATATCTGCGGATGGTCCTCTCAGCTGATCAAATAGTGGATATTAATGTGGATAGATTGTCTGGACTATAGTAGCAATTGATCTTTCATTATGAATAACTATATATCAATGTCTATTATACCATGGTAATTCATATGATACCATATATAGTTATTCATATCAATGGTAAATGATAACAGTGGGAAAAAATATATATATATATAATTTTGAATAACTATACTAGTGTACCAATGATATGATTGAAAAATGGATATGATAGAAACGGATCACTAGTAATAGAAAACGGTAAGAGTAATAGTAATCTACAATCATGGATATAGTACTGGGTGGTGGTTTCAGCCCCTCTGAAAAATATTAGTCAGTTGGGATGATTATTCCCAATATATGGAAAAATGAAAAATGTTCCAAACCACCAACCAGAATTGATTATATGATTATGATGTGGAATAAGCGGATAAAATCCATGGATAAAGAAATAGATTCTGGATACGATTATCAAATAATGTAATGATTATCATTCATTACCACTAATAGTTATCAAATAGTACTATGGTAACTAATGGTATAGTATATGGATTAATGATATATCAAATGATTTATATAATACATATCATTTGGTATAATATCCATCTATAATTGTATAATGGTAATAGTAAGCCCCAGTAACGATAGTTACAAATATCATAAACCATAGTTATTGGAGTTATAAACCAGCTTAGCTATCTTGGGGGCCTCACATTGTATCAAATAGTGGATAATGGTAATAGCAATGGATATAATACTTCATACAACTTCAATCACCAACGGATTTTTCCTAGATTGCAACATCGTTGCAATGAATCCGTTCAAATTATGGAATGCAAGTGCTTTGATCAGTATCATCAAACATAGGGCATTACAATACAAGTATGAAGATATGAAGATATGAAATGAATATATGAAATACAAAGGACTTGCATTGTATTATGTTATGAAATACACATGTCCTATGAGTCTATGAGTATTACCTTATATTATGAAGATAAGACATTGCATTGTATAACTCAAATACTGTATAAGAATGCCATATCTTGTATTCATGAATAGGCATCCAATGGTACGAAAAAAACAAAGGTTTTGTGTAATTATACAGTACCAATCTTTGATATCCGGCAAAAAAATAAGTCCTTAGCCGGTGAACGTAGATAATCCAATTGATACCGAAAGACTGAAGAATTAGTTTCTACCCATCTAAGATTGATCTAGGAATGGATTACAACATATTACAACTAATTCCAGATAAACCATGATAAACCGATATTTGATCCCCCGTGACGTATTTACAAACTTAATTCACACAATGTGAGGCCCACAAGATAACTAAGTTGGTACTGGGGTTTATAAACCAACTTATAACTGGGGGACCTCACATTGTATCAATGAGATTGTGCCCCCTGCCATCCGCATGCTGAGGGATCATTGCAGTCCCGAAAATCGGTGCTTTGTCGATGCCTTGAAAAAGTTGGCCAGCACAGAACAACTGCACAAACTAGGCCAAAGTTCACCAGTGAAAACTCGCATGAAACCATGTCAAAGCAAAATAAAACACAAACACATTGGACTTGGACACATGGAGGTTTCCCAGAATGGGGGGGGACCGCAAAATCGTCCAATATTGGTTATTATCAATGGGAAAACCAACTAATGGTTTGGGGTACCCGTATTTCCCACGTCAATGCTTAGAGCTATCCAACAAAGCCATGAACCCATTTTTCGATGTTCATCTTCAAAGCCATTGGCCACGGTTCCATGTGAGATTTCGCCAAAGGCATTCCATTCCGTCACTGTCCGTTGCCAAAAGCAGTTGAATCAGATGATCCCTGAACTTCGTGAAGTCTCTGTATCAGAATCATAACTCCAAAAATAAGTGAGCAGTGTTCAATTCCATTTTCTCCTGGCTAGGAAAGGAGTTTCGAGTTCATGAAAGATGATAATCCCCAGGGCAGCATAACCATGTGTAACCCCCTGTAGTCACCAATCAAGAGGAGTTTTGAACACTCGTACATTGACCCAAGTCCTTGTTGATTGCTGATTTTTATGCGGATTCAACCGGGTAGTCAAACTTGGGCTAGCTCCTCAGGGCCGAATAGGAAAAAATCTAAAAACTATGAACCTAGAGCTCCGAACAGCTCCCTCCGTCACCGGATGGTAAGCCCCATTTTTGGTACCCTCTGGTAGTTTAACATAACTAATTATGGAAAATCACCATTCATAGTGAAATTTCCCATGAAAAATGATGGAACCCACGGTTATGTAAACGTTTACCAGAGGGTACCTCTCACCCTGAGTCACCAACATTCTCCCAGGATGTTCTGTAAAATTATGCCTGCATAGCCATACAATGTGAAGCCCCCAAGATAGCTAAGTTGGTTTTTAACTCCAATAACTATGGTTTATGGTACTTATAACTAGAGTTACTGGGGCTTATAAACCAACTAATAACTGGGGGGCCTCACGTTGTATGGGACCAACTCGCACATTTCAGGTGGTGAAACACCAGTTCTTCATGTTTGAAGATCATTATTCTGATGTTATAGGGATGACTAATTGGGGCTACCGGGCTACCACAAAATGGATCAAAATGGATGGTTTATAGGGAAAATTCTATTAAAATCTGGTTGGTGGTTGGGCTCTACCCAACGATGACATTTTAACCAACCGAATGGAACAAAACATGTTCCAAACCACCAACCAGTTTTGAATATGTTTGCACAAAATATCCCCTATCTTCGGTTTTCACATTCCAGTTGGTAAAAAAATCTGGTAAACTAACATAACTATGGTAAATCACAATTTTTAATGGGAAAACTCACTATAAATGGCCATTTTCCATAGCTTTTTGTAGGTTTACCGGGCCGGGTAAAAAATCCACAAAACCCGTGATTTTCCAGTTGAATCCCGGGATTTGTTTCAAGGCGGAATTCCATTCACATCCAAACATTGCCAATCAGCCAGATACCCTGCAAAAATGGACCAAATTCTTTGCGTTTTTTTTTTTGAACGTAGATATTCCCATTAATACTTTAAAAGACTAGTTAGGATTAGTTTGTATCCATGTTTCAGATTGACCTAGCAAAGAACCATGGTGTATCTGGTGGTACCCCCGATATCCTCATGGATGCAGCTTTTTGGATCATCTGATCAGATCCATTGGCACGCATTGGGCCCTTGGGACCCTTGGAATTCTTGGATCCCGGGAATCCTTGCGATGTCTTCGATGGTCAAGTGGTGCTTCTGCAACCTTGGTGCAATGGGTGTTGAACAGTGCAATGTGAGGCCCCCGGCCACGAGAGAGCTAAGTTGGTGCAAATAACTCCAATTTCACTATGGTTTATGGTACTTATAACTATAGTTACTGGGGCTTGTAAACCAACTTACAACTGGGGGGCCTCACATTGTGGAGAATTTGTGAATGTCCTGCCGCTTTGTCTGAACTAGGCTACCCCAAACGTTGACTTGTTTATCATCATGATTCCTCTTTGAAGTCGACACATTGGATATACATGACGATGATTCACGTTAATCAGAGTTAACATCATTTAACTCCCTACAGACTGGAGCTTGGGAATAGAAAGAACTCGGCCTTGTCCTCTTGTTATATGATCCCCTTGTTTCAGCAGTCAATGACTGGAGCCTCCGATCCGATCCGATCAATCCGATCCGATGGACGATTCCTCGAAATGGCGTTGCTGCACTCGGGTCATCTTGTCCTTGATGAACAAATTCAATGTCTGTGCGGTGGCGAGCTCCTAGCGACAACGAGACAACGATGCGGAACGCAGGTAGGAATGCCAGGGGATGGTCTCACCCATTGTGAGGATGAAACCGACCATGTTAAATCAATGGGAGATCTCCAGGATCCTAAAATGGAGGTACGTTCGTAACATATAAGGCCATATTTTGCTGGGATATTCCCTTACATAGGCCTTATATAGGCCTTATATATGGTAGGTACCTCCAATGAATCGGTTCCTGAAATGGCCATTGATGTTACAGGGTTAGAAGTGCCATGGGATATCATGGGGAAATCAGCACTAATAAACGTGTGGTTTTGCCAAGTTTTGAGACCCGAACTGAACCCCAATTACATTGGAGAAGTCATGATGCAAAAAGGGTTTGGTTAAAATTGAACATGTTGAGCGTTTGCTTGTTGGATTCCTTAGATACATAAACAGTTCTGCTGGTTAACACGCAAATTCTGATAGACTTCAACAGTTTTAAACTCCCTACTGAGGAACAAATGCCACAGAAACAAACACAAAGTAAACACATGATGAACCATTGGATGGAGTGGGGTACAAGATTTTGAGGCAAGCAAAATTTAAGAAACGTTGACATATACGGTATTGAACCAATGATTAGGTGGCGATTTGGGTTGGTGGTCTGGTATCCTAGGGTGAGTCACGGTCCTCTTGACAGGGGGCTCTTTGTCACCCATAAAAAAAAATAAAATAAAATTGGAGCCCCAAGTAGTCTATATATTCCACTATATCCCCATTCTATCCCCGTTAAATCCCAGTAAAGCACCATCTTCGATGGTAAAACCAAGCCACTCCAGATTGGTTGCCATTGGCTTCATCCATGAATCGTCTCAATTTCCATTAAATCCCATCAAATCACCCTTTTTGATGGTAATTCCCATGGTAGTTACATCCATGATTCATGTCAAGATTGTCCTTGTTCGGAAAAATAGATGAGATGGTTCGGTAGACAATTCTCTATTCATTTATCTACTGATTGCTATGTGGAAGACCCCTCTATTTATCAACCAACTAGTGGGGTAAAAGAACCAGTGCTAATCCCAATTTCTTGGGGTCGTTGAACCACCAACGAAGCACCATATTCCCTATTAGTGGGGCCCCCTAGTCATACCCTCTGGTAATTCAACAGTTTGCTATTGAACATGGCCATTTATAGTGGATTTTTCCATTAAACATGGTGATTTTCCATAGTTATGTTAGTTTACCAGAGGGTAAGTTTGTTTATAACCCCATCTAACTAGTTGGGAGCCTCGCTGCAGGGCGCCTGGTTGTTTTAGACGTACCGTCATGTAAATTCCATTGGAATTGTGGCTGCAGATGCGCAAGAGCGTTTTTTTCCACTCCAAAAACTACTTTCAGTCAGCAAACAGCTTGCGGATTGCGTCCAACTTCTCTGAGTTGTTGCCTCGCAAGTGCGTGCGGCGCCAAAGCCACTGCCAGACCCTTTGCTCCAACTTCGTTGAGTGGGTCACATCATCACCTCCTACCTTGCCTTTTTTGTTGGCTTCCTTGGGAAGCCAGGTTTTCAAACTTTTCCAATCGGAATCGATTGTTTGTGTTCCACTGATGTTGGACAATCCTTTGGGGACCTTACGAAAAATGGAAGCATATTCTTTGTGTTGATGATTGACCTGAAAACAATGAATGTTCAAGACTTTCGCGGCTTTGGCCCATGCACGGGCACCATCAGCGTAGATAGCAAGAGGTTTTCTGCAACTCACAGCAGAAAGGAGCTTCGAATTTTTGATCTCCTCCCAAGATTCTTGCGGTGGACGGCTTTTGGGCAAGCAAACCTCAGAAGTCCATGTGGAGCCAAAAAAGAAAAAAAATTGGGTCCTCTTTGGTTTGTGTTGGATTCGGAAACATGACTGAAATATTGCAAGAAACACGTGGTCGAAGAAATCGAAGAACCAATGGTCCATTCCGTTGACGTAACCCCAACAAACGTATGTGAACAGGAAATGCCGGGAATGTTTTGCCTTCTCGGTTCTCCAACTGGTAGATCTGATCCGCGTACGTTTTGTTGCTGCGCTTCACCCAGAAACGGCCAACACTAGTACCATCAGCTTCGATGCACTTGGTGACTTTGGCTGACATGGACAATGCTTTTCCTGCAAACGCTTCACGTTCTGACATAATGTCCAAGAAGTGTCGGCAAGAACTGTAGCCAAGTCCTGTAAGCTGCACAAAGTGTGCAATGGAGATGCACTGGTTCCAGACGGCGGAGATGTAAGACATGATCATGTATGCCAACTCTGCTGGAGTCACTTTCAAACCTTCGAAACGACTGTTGAAAAACAAGGCTTTTCTTCTTTGGCAATTCCAAGCTTTGCAGCGCCAAAACCACCAAGGCCGTCTATCTTGCCTCTGATCTAGCTTCCAGGGACCACCAAGCGTTTTGGCAGAACAATCAGGGCATGTTTTCGGTTTCTGCAGAAAGCCATGATCACATAGCCAATCCAGGGCGGCTTCATCACTCGAAGAAACGCTCCAATCAAAGCTGGAGTCTATGCGCCTCGGTTGCTTCTCGGACTTTGGACTCTTGGAGTAAGCCTTGCGGGCTTCCTTTTGCCACTTTGTTCCAGCTCTGACATGCAAACGGGCATCTGGATGCTTTGGCTCAAGTCTGCTTGACTTGCTTTTCAACTGGCCTTTAAGTTTCTTAACCAGCGTAGCCCCTGGGTATGGACACGTTTCAAGCCGATGCTTCAACGACCCACATACTGCACAACGGTGCTGTTGACCGCGGCGGCTACGAGCAGAAGGACGTTTCATATTCGAGTTGGATGGAAAAATGTCTACGTAGATGATGATGATGATCATCATCATCATCATCATCACCGGTTGGTGTTAATGATTTTCCCTACTAGTCCTAATACTGTATTCCCATTTCTGTTTCAAACAAAAAAAATGAGAAATAACGGACATCCCCATTTTTTTGCGTTCAAATCCCCATGGATTTCCCATGAAATTCCCCATTGATTCATTGATTCCATCAAAATCATCATGAAATAATGGGGTTTACATAATAGGGTTTACATAATGGGGTTTACATAATAGTACCATTAATAAACCGGATGAATAACCATAGTTACTATGGTTATGATTGTTTAAGTACTGGGTTTGTCTGAAAATAGAGTATATTCCGAATTATAGCCATTTAATAGGGATAATGATCATTAACCATTGGGTTTAGGGGTACACTATTTTCAGACAAACCCATTTAAGTATAATAACCATGGTTTATTACTCCGGGGTTGACATTATGGATGATTCCAAGCATCCTCCTCCAGCTTCAACTCCGCCCTCAGCTGTCGGCACATATATACTAGGGTCTTATATATATATACACACTATTATTATATATATACAGTACTATACTACATATACGGAGTTTACAAGTATATACATATATGCTATATCTAAATAGATATCTATATATGTATATGCACTATACTTAAATATAAGTTGTCCATGCACAAACGATGATTAAGTTTTTATAGATACGTATATATATAAATATATAATTATATATATATATTGAGTTTATAGATGTGTAGATCTTCAGCACCGAAGTGAGTGCAAAGACCTGAAAGCAAACTTTTCCAATGCGCGGACAGCGCCAATCTCTCTACTTCAACGAGCGGCGCCATTGCGCAACAATGAAGCTCGAAGCTTCGCATGCTGATTTTTCAAGTACTTTGGAATTTTTGGCCACAGATCGTCTGACAATGGTGCCGACGTCCAACACTGTCTCTTACCGTCAATCAGCTTCCACCACTGTGAGCACACCAAGCGAATGTGACCAGCGTTTGCACCACTTTGGAACAGATGCGGTTTTCGGCTGTATTGGCAAGTGGTGCACCGTCCGAACTTTGTTGGCTTGTAATCAGACACGACTTCTTCAGGATCAGTGGACAGAGCTTCCACCTCAATTGTCCTCTGCTCTTCCTCGCGCAACATGGAATGAATCTCTTCATCTGTTGGAAACGACACCAAGCGTGCAGAGGAACTTGAGGACGTAGCAATTTCAGCCCCACAGGTCACAGAAGAAGGGATGCCCAGAATATCTGCCAGCGCCTCATCTTCTTGCCTGAGAAACTCATCCAAGGACATGCCAAGATGTCTTTTGTGCGATTCACTTTTGTCTCGAATGTGATGAGGTGAATCATCATGGTGCACCGGAGACATTTCCACATCAGACAAAGCATCATTCTCTAAATCCAAGTCAATGACTGCACGCGGTGCTGGTTTCAAGAATTGAAATCTCTCAGAAGATTGGTCTTTCTGCAAGCACGAACTGTTGACCGGAATGCGAACAAACAATTGATCCGAGGAAAATTCCACGACAGATAAACACACCCAAGACTCGACGTACGCAAATGTCTGCACCCGTGGAAGTCCGAAGACAGAGCACACGGCAAACAGATGTCGCATTGGAATCCAGACTCCAATTGGTAACTGCATCAGAATCACATACATAGAATCCAAGGGGTCAGATGGCCATGGAGGAAACTGACCGTGCAAAGTCTTGTAATCCATTGTGCACACATGGCACGATAAATGAAGGGAAGTACAGTGAAGATCTTCGAACCAATGTGCCCGTTGAAATCAAGACTGATAAGATAGTCTTCCGAAACAAAGCAGATCAAACCGTCAAAAAACCCAGGAACACGATAACGTAAATCCAACATGTAACATGGGAAAACCCAAACGTTTCAAAATGGACATCAATCATGTTTTCCCCGAACACCAAAGATCATCTGCAACGTGGAATTGACAATTGGAAGACAGAAACCCCAAAGACATGTAGAATCATGTAAATTAAAACATGAACCACGAAACATGTTTGGAAACTCTTCCGTGTTTGCACGTGATCAAGACCAAGAGTACAGATGGAGACATAGATACAGACATAAATATATATATATATATATCCATATATGTATTCATATTTTTTAATTATCTATAAACCCCCCACCCAGCTGCAGGGGCGCCTGAAGCAGTTACAGCAACATGCGCACAGCGTCGCAACAACGGCGTCTTGACGATGTCACGATACCATGTGCAGAGCATCGCAACAACAGCGTCTTGAAGACGTTAGAAGACGCAAAAGACAGAAAGTTATTAGACCTTACAAGAACACCCCCCCCCGAAACCCCCTCCCGAACCCCCCCCCAGACGTTACAAGACCATGTGCACAGCGCGTTACAAGACGCAACACACAGACGTTATTAGCCCCCCCCAAAACCC